AACACAGCGGGGCAGCTGCAGCCCTAACGGACCGAACTTCAGTCAAACAAGATCCAACACTTTTATTCCTGATTTAAACTAGTGATCATGTGAGCAGCTGCAGCTGTATGCTTTTATTTTTTTATGTCAGGCTGTCAGAGCGCTCCACCTCCTCTGTCCGAGGCTGGTGTGGTGTGAAGCAGACTGCTCAGCCGAGGCTGCTGGAGCTTCATGTCCTTCCTGATCGAGGGAGCCAACATGAGTCAGTCCCAGACTGAGCTGACTTGATCAAGTCTCTCTCTGCCTCTGGTGAGGAGGGGGGTGAAAAATCCTCCACCTCAGACCGTTTAGAGATGTAACTATCTGCGTTGCTGTGGTCACTCTCCATGTAGCATTAATTATGCTAATGCTAGCTGTCACGTTCTCTCGTCCTGGCTACACCTCCGCTCTCTAACCCCCCTCCCCTACCCACACCCCCTCCCCTACCCACTTTGATGCATTTTTCAAATTTCGCCTTGGGGCGGAGTTATCTTTTCACGGGAGGGTAAGATACACTTTAACTTGAATTAGCTGAAGTGCTAAACTGACATTAGCTTGAGTTAGCTGAAGTGCTAAGCTGACAGTAGCTTGAGTTAGCTGAAGTGATAAGCTGACATTAGAACGCATTAGCTGAAGTGCTAAGCTGACATTAGAACGCGTTAGCTGAAGTGCTAGGCTGACATTAGCCTGAGTTAGCTGAAGTAATGAACCCACATTGAAAACACTGGCGGTTTTCTCAGGGTTTAAATCTGATTCTCAGTTTTTTTTTTTAAATCTGTTTGTCACATCATGTTTGCTGTCAGGATTTTGCCGCCCTCGTGCAGATTTACAACCATGACATTTAGAAACCAAATATGATGAGTCATGTTTCTGCTGGTTTAAACCTTCAGGACTTTTTAACCTCACATTTATCCAACATTCTCAGCTAAAAACGTCATCAGAAAACTCCTGAAAGGAGATTTATTTTCCCGTTCAGTCTCACTTCACACCAAATATCAGCTCATTTGAACATGTGTTATTAGGAAATCAAGAGATATTTTTTATCTATTGTCGTTTGGAGCATTTAGATGAATTGAAGCTACAAACAACTGCAGCTTTGATGCTCGTGTTGAGTGGAAAGAAACTGTCATTGAACTTTACAGCTCTGCATGAGGAGTGGAAAATTACCAGCATCAAAAGGAGCCTGACTCAGCAGTTTGAGTGTTTATCAAAATGTTTTTATATCTGCTCACGGAGCTGTTTGAATTCAAATCATTACTGAACTTCAAAATGATTTCATGTCAGCTTATTGTTTTGTTCTTCTTCAGGTTTTAATCTGTTTCCACTTCCTGTTTTGTTTCCACTTCCTGTCTTATCAGGAAGTGCAGTACTTCACCTGAACGCAGCATGGCTAACGTCTCCGTGTGTCTCTGCAGCTGTCCTGTATGTGGGAGGACGTCCGGTGGCTCAGGCAGAGCATGTCCGTCTCCATGTCGTCCTCGTCCACGCTGCAGGCTCGACACAAGATGCTGACCGCCACCGGGCAACTGCAGGTGAGCCCCGCCCAACCCGAGTCAGGAACCTGACGAAAACTCTTCATTTTATTAGGCTTTGACTCCGCCCACAGAACCTCCTGGGAACGCATAACCTGGGTCGGGTCCACTATGAGCCCATCAAAGACCGCCACGGAAACGTCCTGCTGGTGACAATCCGAGACACGGAGAGCCAGCATTCGCTGTTCAGCGGGAAGTGGATCCAGGTGACCAAACTGCAGAGCCAGAGGAAGTCCCTGTCCACGCCCGAGGAGCCGTACGCACTCGACATCCTCATCATCACCATGCAGGTTAGGAGGCGGAGCTTAATACTCACTGTGCATGTCAGGAGGTGGAGCATAGAATTAACAGTGCTTGTCAGGGGGTGGAGCAAAGAATTAACAGTGCTTGTCAGGGGGTGGAGCTTAGTACTCACTGTGCTTGTCAGGGGGTGGGGCTAAGAATTAACAGGGCTGGTCAGGGGGTGGAGCTTAGTACTCACTGTGCTTTTCAGGGGGTGGAGCTTAGTGCTCACTGTGCTTGTCAGGGGGTGGGGCTAAGAATTGACAGTGCTTGTCAGGGGATGGAGCTTAGTACTCACTGTGCTTCTCAGGGGGTGGAGCTTAGTACTTATTGTTCTTGTCAGGGGTGGAGCTTAGAATTAACAGTTTTTATCAGGGGGCGGAGCTTAGAATGAACAGTGCTTGTCAGGAGGTGGAGCTTAGTACTCACTGTGCTTGTCATGGGGTGGGGCTAAGAATGAACAGTGCTTGTCAGGGGGTGGGGCTAAGAATGAACAGTGCTTGTCAGGGGGTGGGGTTTAGTACTCACTGTGTAGGTAAGGGGTGTTGGTTCTGTAAAGTCTGACCCATAAAGAGGACCTGATGGTCTTAAGGTTTTTAGGACCTCAGGCTGATATTAAATCTATTTTAGGTTTTAAATCAAACTGTTCTTGTTTCGCTGTCCTGGTTCTGAAGGACATCCTGGCGTACCAGCGCCGCAGCAACCACCGTCTGGTTTCTGGACTCTACCTGGGCTACCTGAAGCTCAGCAGCTCTGTGGACCAGATCAAAGTCCTGGTCTCCCAGCGGACCCCCAACATGCTCTGCCACACCCGCATCCGGGACAACGCCAACGTGTCCAGGTTCTCATACACACAAAACAAGACTCTAACTTAAGTTACCAGATAAGACCAGAAAGGACTGTGATCTGCAGTGAGGGTAGGGAGCAGGTGGAGGAGAGTCTGGAGAGGAGGCGGGAGGTTTTGTTCACATTTGATCAAAAAGTGATGGACGTGTTTGTGTTCCATCAGAGAGGAGTGGGATTGGATCCAAACACTGGCAGCTGTAGGGGACAAAGACCACAGTGAGGAGGACAGTGAAGGGGCGGAGATTCGTGCAGAAAGCCATGCCCCATTACTGTACTACGAGCTGCGAACGGCCATCAAGTCTCTGTTGCAGCACATCAACATCCCTCTGCACCAGGTACGCACACCTGCACCAGTTACGCACACACCTGGTAAATGTGTTTTGGTGTATTAATGTGTATTAATGTGTATTTTGTGTGTGTGTGTGTGTGTGTGTGTGTGTGTGTGTGTGTGTGTGTGTGTGTGTGTGTGTGTGTG